TATGATAGCTAGTACAGAAGTAGATATTAATGATAATAATGGTATTATATATTGTAATCCAGATTTTTTATTAACTATAAAAGATTTTTCAGAAAAAATTAAAATAGGAATTCAAACACATGGATATGAAGATGTAGTTTCAGGAGAAAATTTATTAATAAGTATAGGATTTTTGGGAAGATGTAGCAATAATTCTCAAACAAAATATAGATTATATATAGATAAAGTAATAAACTTAATGAGTAGTAAAGGAATAAAAATGATTAAGCCTAAAACTTATGATTCAGAACTTTTAGCAGGATTAGAATGGGATTTAGAAAAATTCCTAGAAAACCAAGAACCAATTTTAGCTCCTCAAGAAGCTATAACATACAAAGACTTACATGGAAGAACTAGTTTAAGGTTTGGTAATTATAGTCATATAAATAGAAATAATGATTCTGAAACAGAATATAATAATAATGAAGAAGAACAAAAACCAGAAGAATTTCTTAATGCAGTAGAAATAGAAACTGAAGATAGAATTTTATATCCTAAAGAATTAGAAATGAATTTATCTCCTACAGAACTTTTAAATAAACAAATAGGAGAAATAGAATATTTATATTATGATAATTTTAAAAATATTAGAGTAGGAATTAATATAGAAGAAATTGATAATATGACAGAAATTTCAGAAAGTAGTAATCATAAAGAATTAGTAGATGAAAATATGGGAATTAAAACAGAACCAGAACAATTTTAATACTTAGCTGGTCATCCTCCTAGAACACCTTATACAAGTTATAATGATAAAGAAAGAAATTATATAGTTAGAGGAAAAATTAGACCTTTAGAACCTAATATATATATATATATATATATTATGAGGCCCCCTTCTTAATTGGACCTGAGGCAGAGGCAAATGGGGCCAGCCATGCATGAGCGGGATCCATGTTTAATCGTGAGGCCCCCCTCATATGAGGAATTGTCATACTTGGTGTACAAAGTGATGTACACCAAGCATCCTCCCACCGACATAGTTTGTAAAACAAATTATTTGTACATTCTTAAAAGCAATAAAAGAACAAACACGAACATGACACAATATCATGTTAAGGTCAATACTATGTTTTCAAAGCTGTATTTATAACGAGTTCACCACTCTTTTTGTGTCCACTACTACTCAAAATTATGTGTAATAAATTGAAAAAGTATTGATACTTCAAAGAAAATCGAAACAAAGTATATTGACTCGATACTGGTAATGATATCGAAACAAAAAAATAATTCGTAGATTAAGGTCTTATTTGCTTAGATTATTCAAGCTAAGTTTAATTATTTTATTAACTAATTTTAAAAGCCACTATTTCCATGTGCAGAACCTTCATGTCCACCATCACCACCCTGCATTAGCATGTCCACAAACCTGCCTCGACTGCTTGTCTTCAACTCGGCCATCAAATCTCACAGTCGACCGCTCTTTCCATGCAGGCACCATCACCGCCAACTCCCTTCATTAACAAATAAGCCAAGGCCGCCATCAGTAATCTTTCTTCAACTCCGCCATCAAACTCGGGTGGAGGGAGGGGAGAGGAGCAGCCCTTTTTTCCCCACGTATCAGCCTAGTACAAAACTATTTTATTGTCCCTCCCCCCCCGGCTCTTCCATGTGTAGTACATTCTCCACCACCGTCTCCTCCATCTGCCGCCACCACCAATTTGATAATTGCATCCGTCCACGGTCTGCATGACGACAAGTCTTAAGATCTTTACTGCACATCAAACAAAAAGTCAGAAAATTGTAACTTCTGATCTGATCCCAGATGATATTCAAGGACTAAGCACATATTCGGTACAAAAATAACAGAAAATCTAGGAGCTCATGCGAAAGCACAGAAGAAAATCCATGATATCGTTTGACATTCATGCAACAACTACAAGCAGTCAACTGAACTAATTTGAAGATCCAAGAGTAGGCATAGAAAGCATCAACAAAGTGCCATAACAGTTCAATAAACATTTGAATGCATCAATATAAATTACACTAACCAAAACAGCATGTAAAAAGCTACAAATAAAAGCATACAATCCGTCAGAAAAAATATGTTCACATAATGCACTACTTATTTGTTTAGATACAAATTAATTATCTCAATGTTCGGAAGAGAACAATGATTGTGCTAGCATTTGGTGAAACTATTAACAGATGCACAGAATACAAACAAAAGTTCCTTCTTCAGGAAACCTGGAGTTTACTGAAACCAGAAGAGAAGCAGACCGAGAAATTTAAAGGCAACGATGTATATAGCGCTTAGCAATATTTTCCGTGCAATATCTCTTGATATTACGTTTCACATTATGGATTTTATCAAGTGGTAACACCAAGCACGCTCATACTTCTTTGATGTAGTAATTTTGGTGTTGCACAATGAAATGAGTCTATTTGGTTTATATCGTGGCCATTTCAATCATATAGCATTAATGGAAATTTCCCCATTCGTTCGTGTTTCAAAATTTTCAACTTTCTACAATGAAGACTTAAACACAGGATTTGCAGGTGCGAGTAATTACTGCACATTAAACTACAGAATGCAATAGCACCTGACTTCTTATAGAGCCCTATATCTCCATAAAAAATAAATCTAGAAAGTTTCAATCATATACAAAACTTCTAACGGAACATTTTTGGTTGGGAGGAATATTGAGAGAAGATAACCTCACAAGTTCTTCCCGGAAGTACATTGACTAACACAAATTTCTTAACAAACTGATGTCTGGCAATATCATCTAAGATAGTCCTCAACTCCCATCCACATTTATCATCTACAAAATTCAGTCATAATTTTCATGTATATTAAGTTAAAGAAATGAATTATACAGTTATAGGATTATGTTCGTGACAGAACTGAGGAAATTTTTAGGAAGATACACTCTAATGGGGCATAGTGTGGCTAAGATTGATACTGGTTTTACAGGTAAAGGAACATTCAGGGAAATAGGCTCTTCTAAACTAGGATAAATTACCCATGAAAAAGTTTGCTCACAAGTTTGCCAATCGTAGAAGCATCAATACAGGCAAGAACATTACTTGCAAAAATAACAACTGGAAGCATCTGCTAGTGGGGTAAATGAAAACATACCTCTACTTTGAAGAACTCAAGATTAACAAAACAGCCTGAAATCTGACCAATTTCTGAAATCTAGAGAGTAAATACGAGAAGAATGTGCCATTGGTATCCAAACTATTACCCAGTAGCAAGTTGGTCCCTGATCCAAGTCCAACAAACAAGTTGGTCCTTAACTTTCAACTATAGTTGCAAAATCAGTCCTCAAAAATCAAAACCGTTCAAATCTTCATTAAATCATTGCATGGCCCTCGTGGGGTCTGATTGTGAAACAATAATGATAGGTTGAGGACCAACATGCTCCTTTTTAAAGGTTGCGGACCATATTCTATCTGACTATAGGTTGGGGACCTATGATGCCATTTTCCATAAAATATTCTGCTTCAACATGGATGTTTTCAGGGATCCTCATGATACAAGTTCAGACAGAAAGCGCAGATTAATGAAGCCGTGGAAAAGGGTGGAGATTATCTGGCATTTGGAAGTTTGTATCAGAAGGTAGTGGCTGCAATAATCCGCTACTTGACAATTCCTCCAAGCTGTTGATGTCCTGTTGCAACCGCGTCACATGCGATACGGCATGTTCAAGAACCAGAGGATCATCCGGCATATTTTCTAGGAGGCTAAGCAACACCTGCCTATAAACTTGAGCAGCCAATAATGGCCTTGCTACCTGTCGACTTCTACAGAAGATTGCAACCTTAATCACGTGCTTACAAATATTACCCACCATTGACCACGAGCAATCACAGAGTGCGAACTCCGAACCTGGGTTCCAAATTGTATATGCCACAGTACTGTCTGCCTGAGAAACGACCTTTGCAAACTCGAGATTTTCCTCGTCTAGTAGCACATCCACGTCAGGGATGTGCATAGCCTGATACCAAGAGTTGGTCGAGACATACCTATCCCTCAGATTTTCAAAATGTCCAGTCTCTGCAATATATTGGTCAAACCAATACAAGGAGTGAAATTGAGTTGTTAATGTGTGGATCAAGAAGTCAAGTCTGCGATGAGAATTTGCACATAACAAATTTAGAACTTTGGATTTCAATCTTAAGTGATATACTTCTATTGAAGCATATGGCTCTTGATTTGCTACCGGGAGAGTTCTGACACAATTGACCCACAATTCTGCAATATAAGATACCATATTAAAGTTATTTTTTCTACATATGCATGCAAAAAGGTGCTTAAAGTAACACTTAAACTGGAGATGAAAATATTAAATATTGAAGAGGTTCCTGGAACAAGCAAAAGCACATAAACCCTGCCAGAAATAAGAAAAATTAAAAGACCATGCCTATCTTTGGCAACCATTTGCTTCTAAAGTGTTCTATAAATGCATGCTGATCGACATATATTTGCATGAACTCTTCAACAGCATCAACCACATTTCGCCCACTTTTTGAGCAGTACAAAATCCTGCCTACATGCTTAAACATCTCCCTCTGCACATCAAAATTGCTGCAATTCTTCAAAAGGCTTTTCAACCAACCACGACGCACATGCCAAAGGGATAATAAAACGCGGCATTGGAAGGCCTCTCTACAAGTCACAAGCATCATATTAGCAATTTTCCAGTTTCCAATCCATAACTCGGAATACAACATCTGAGAATCAGACCGCAAAACTTACCTTATAACTGAAGCCTCAACAGAAGGATCATCCACTAGAATTGCACAAGGTCTCCACCTTGGGTCCTTCTGATGAATTCTTTCAACAAGAGTCGACATCCATTTGTGAATACTTTGACCAGGCAAACTAGAGGTAATGACCCAGGCAATTGGAATCGGATTCTGGGAAGAGTCAAATACAAGCAGAGAGCACAAAGCATACTGCAGAAGTCAAAATAAGAAATCAAAATAGTGAAGATTCCAAATCATCAAGCTAAAGTGCAAGGTGTATTAATCTATACTTTTTACGTTAAAGGCTTTCTTATTTAGCCCTCGTTTGGTTCTGATTTTTCACCCCAAAAAATCAACTTTTTGACCGTTACTTCCAATAGTCAGCCGTAATTTTTCACTTCTTCACAAACAGATGAGACTCCACTTTTCTCTCTAATAATAAAAAAATTGATTCTCATAATCACTATCTAACAGGCCCTTAATTTTCTTAGTCTTATTGTTTGCAACCAGATGACCCGAGTCATCCGATTGTGCGGCATCCAAAGGCCAAAAAAGAGAGGAAAAGAATTAAGATAGAAAAAATGATATATAAATGTGCAGTTTCCTCAATAGAATTGAAATCAGTCACACTATTTTCAAGATATGCAGAAGGCCAATTTCATGGCTTTCTTTTTTATTATCCTAACAGGCCCTTAATTTTCTTAGTCTTATTGTTTGCAACCAGATGACCCGAGTCATCCGATTGTGCGGCATCCAAAGGCCAAAAAAGAGAGGAAAAGAATTAAGATAGAAAAAATGATATATAAATGCGCAGTTTCCTCAATAGAATTGAAATCAGTCACACTATTTTCAAGATATGCAGAAGGCCAATTTCATGGCTTTCTTTTTTATTATTACTTCTAGTTTTGTTCACATTTTTAATATACAAGAATTTAGCCCCTCAAGTTTCTGGAATTGCTAATCTCTCTTTCGCATCAGAGCCCTTCTCAGAACTTTTTTTCTGTGATTATTCATTGTACGTGCAAATCTGGTATACAATCAGATGTTATAATAGTCACCACATATTATAGTTCCATATGCCCTTAATCACACTTCTAATATGTATGGAAGGTGAAGAGGAAATACAATCATTCCTAGGCCAAGAAAAATGAGACAAACAAACCTCAAATGTTTTAGAGTTATATGCTGAATGAAAAGCAATGGATGCATTATGTCCATAACGAAGCATCTTCTGAAGCTGCCAATCTGACTGTATCCCTAATATAAAAGGTTCAGAACCGGATTTCTCTTGTAAATGAAAAACATGCTTACGGTGGCGTTGCACCCATATCATTACACTGCATTTGTCATTGGCATGTAATTCATGGGATGATTTGTGGATAATCCTTTCCATATTACGCACATCATTACGAGTCAGAAAATCATCCCGGGTGTGGGCTCCTCCATGCCTCTGCACCTGTTCCATGTGATGTTGGATTATCATGTCCAAAGATATTCCAACATGAAGCATGGACATCACTTTTTGACGTAGTTCCTCAGAAATACGAGGAGCATACATTGCTCTTGTACCTACAGCTTCCTGATCAAGTATTCCATGACAAGGTGCTCCTGTTTTGTCCACATGATTTCTCTGATTGTAGATTATAAGGGCAAGGAGTGGACGGGTGTATAAGCGTTTAACAGTAAAATGGCAAAGGCATCCCCTCATCATGTGTCGTCTCCCAGGCCTACTTCCCTTACCAGAAGTGGGTTTAATGCTCGAGTTTTCTCCAATACCAGATTCACTGTCCCTGTAGTCTTCAGGACCATAAGAGCACCAATACCTAAAAAACCCATGAAATATGTACAAGTTATTAAAATGTTTTTCTGGCACGATTTCACATATGTTCGAAAATGTAAGACAAATAGCTATAAACATAAATTACAATATCAAGTTGATAGTCTTACACACAACCTTTATCTAAGGAAATGGATGATAGACCAGACTATTCATATGAAATTTCGAGCTCAAGGGTGATATTTCAACAAAGCACAAATACGACATACGACTTACAAGAAGCAACATACAGTGTATATTCAAGATATCCATCAACCCTTGGTTTGTTGAGACTCCCTTCAAGCCTCTTCCTTCTCGATTCAACTCGGAAACGAGCCGGACATTCTGCATTACTGGATTCTCCTTTGACAAAATCATCCACTCTAGCAAAAGGAATTAGTGCAATGTCGTCACCACCTTGACGACCGCCTTCTACTTTCACCCAATTTAGATGAGCAGCAGAAAACTCTGCATATGGAGGATCTTGCACAGGAAGGCTTAATATATCCTCCATTCTAGGCATCTAGATTAAGAAGATGCACATGATAGCAACAAAAAATTCAGAGATGGCTTTAGAGAATGCAATAGGCATTATGAGAAATTTAACTATGGCAAAAAGTTTTATTTTTTAAATATGTGAAGACATGATAGAGAATTTCAAGTGTGACATTGCTCCAACGTTCCAGCAGTCTATATTATTGTAGGAGAAAATAAATGAGACTGAATTAAGTGTGTCTAGAAGCCCTAGGATTTGGTAACAAGTTGATTTTTTTGTGAAATAAGTCCCGATTAAAATACGTCATGATTGAAATCTCGAGGTAATCAGAATAAAAATTTATCATGAACTCTTTAATATCCTGGGTTAATTCTCTCTACATCTGTTCAAATCTCCTTCAATGGGAATTTTAATTGGCTAGAGATTTCCATATTAAACAATCCACATCTTCGAAAAATTATTGATCTATTCCCTTATCTAGTTCTATTTGCAAGGACATACAGATCGATGACACAAATCGACTTTTCTTCCCATAAAGACAAACACAATCATATCCTTGATCCGGGTACATTTACCATACTATCTTTCAATTCGAGTTCAATAATCGTTCCTCCTTCATTTTTGCTCTTTTCTGCAAAATGTATACAAAAGTTTACATCTATCTTCCCTAGTTCTTTCGCCTATACAAAAGTTTACATCTATCTTCCCTAGTTCTTTCGCCTACTTGTCTACACAGATCATCTATTGCACGAAGGTCGTTGAATATCTTCCTACGTAGCACAGTTATTATTTCTATAGATTTTCCTAGAAGTGTCCATATGTTCCAAATTCCAACCTTAAGTATATTATCTTGGACTAGCTTCTTACCCACCGTTTGAGCAAGAGAAAGGCTTATTTATCACAGATTAAATCGTCATTCCAAGTTTATAGATGATAAAGTTCACTAATGTGTATTCTACATTTTTATATTGACCAAATATAATATAAAAAGTAAAGAATTAAGAACAGAAGCTAATTGATAGGCCACCCATACGTTTTACGTATGAGAGGCGTCACAAGAAGGCAACGGGCTAGGAATTGTTATTGTAACTAATTCAGTTGTTTTGGGAGGGAAGTTAGTTGGGTAGAAGAGAATAAAAGGGCAGAGACGGAATGAAAAAAGGCATTCACGGGGTAGGAAAAATCTGTGAATCTGTGGGGAGAGGGACAACTCTCAAAACTTGCCATTCTAGTTTTAATTTGTGTCAATTCATTTCTGTAAGTGTTGAGTTTATGCAATTCTTATTAATTTCCGTTCATATTCATTTTCTTCCATAAGATCCTAAGTATATTTTCACTGTTTACCTACATTTGAAGTTGACTCACGTCTCCAAGTGCAAGATAATCAAGCAGGTTCTATCATTTGGTATTAGAGCAGTCGATTCCGGGGTGGATTATGCCAGTAACTAGAATGGTTACAAGAGTCGAAACACTCGAAGCTACGATTTCTCAGATTTCGACATTGGGAACGTCGGTGCTGGAATTGCAGGAAAACGTGGAGCAACTGAATGCGAGATTAGGAAGAGAGTTGGAAAAGATGAACGTTAAATTAGAAGCTAGTTTGGCCATGGGTCGAAGGGAACTGAGTGATGGGTTGCAGACAATAGCGAAGATGATAAGGAATTTGTCGTTAGACTCGTCGCCCTTAGTAGGAGAAGGGAGTGGGGTTAAGTCATCGACAACTGCTGTTGAGCAAACCGAGTCGGAGAAGATGGAAGTGGATAAGCAAAGCCTTAAAATCAAGGAAGGCCACTATCGTAAACTGGAGCTACCCTTATTCAATGGGATAGATCCGGATTCATGGATTTTCAGGGCCGAAAGGTACTTCGGCATGAATAAATTAAATGCAGTTGAGCGGGCTGTGGCTGCGGGTGTGTGTATGGAGGGCAGTGCTCTCTCATGGTTTCAATGGGAAGATGGGAGACGGCCTCTGCGCAGTTGGGAGGATCTGAAACCACGATTATCAGTAAAGCCCGTGAGAAGGAGCGCCCACGTTATAAAGGTTCGACCTATTCTCCTCCTGCTAGGGTAGAGAACCGGACTATTCAGTGGAACCCTCCTAGAGGGAATATTCTGATGGAAAAGGCAAGAGCGTCCTCTACAAATACAAACTCGGGATTTAGGAAGTTAACCCGGGCAGAAATACAAGCAAAGAAGGATAAGGGATTGTGTTTTCGGTGTGATGAGAAGTACACTATCGAGCATAGGTGTCGCAACAAAGAGCTGCATGTGTTACTAGTTGATGATGACATTGAGGAGGCTGAAAAGGAGGACAATGTGGAGGAGAAAATAGAGAGAAAAGAGCTGGAGGGGGTCGAGCTATCCATGAATTCAGTAGTTGGTTTAACATATCTCAAGACAATGAAGGTGAGAGGAACAGTCAATGGACAGGAGGTAGTGGTGTTGATCGACTCAGGAGTAACCCATAATTTCATCTCTATGGAGTTGGTTCGGAACTTGAAATTACCCATCACGGAAACCAATGGGTATGGGGTGCATGTTGGTTCGGGAATGGCTATTAAGGGAAAAGGGGTTTGCAAAGGAGTGGTACTCTACATGCAAACCGTTGTAGTTGTTGATGAGTATCTACCATTGGACTTGAGTAGTTCTGACATAATTCTGGGGATGCAATGGCTAAGTACTCTGGGCACGGTTCAAGTGAATTGGAAGCAGTTGATGATGAAAATACTTATGGGGGATCAAACAGTGACTTTGAAAGGGGATGAAGGGTTGAGCAAATCCTTAGTTTCCCTGAAATTGATGCTAAAAACTATACAGTAGGAGGGAGAAGGATTGATGGTGGAACTTAGTGCCATTCAGGTAAAAGAATCCGAGCTCGAACGAAGCATTCCAGAACCTGTCCAGAAAATTCTGGACACTTATAAGGCAGTGTTTGAAATGCCGGTTGGATTGCCTCCCCCAAGGGGCCATGAACACGCCATCACATTGAAGCCAGGGACTGAACCAATTAATGTTAGATCGTATCGCTATCCTCATGCTCAAAAGGCAAAGATTGAGCGTTTGGTGGCGGACATGTTGGAGGCAGGAATAGTTCAAACCAGCAACAACCCCTTTTCCAGTCCAGTACTGTTGGTGAAGAAAAAAGATGGGGGATGGAGGTTTTGCGTGGATTACAGAGCCCTAAACAAGGCTATCGTGCCGGATCGATTCCCTATACCTGCAATTGATGAGCTACTGGATGAATTGCAGGGTGCAACCATCTTCTCCAAGCTGGACCTTAAATCAGGGTATCACCAGATACGTCTAAAGGTTGGGGATGAACACAAGATAGCTTTCCGAACACATGAAGGGCATTATGAATTCTTAGTAATGCCTTTTGGGCTTACTAATGCCCCAGCCACATTCCAGTCATTGATGAATCGTGTTTTCAAAAACTTGCTGAGAAGGTGCGTGTTGGTTTTCTTCGACGACATCCTGATTTACAGTCGTTCATTGGAGGAGCACTGTAGACATGTGGGAGAGGTGTTAAGGCTCCTACAAGAGCATCACTTGTATGCAAATAGAAAAAAGTGTGAGTTTGGATGTGCAAAACTAGAATATCTAGGGCATGTAATTAGCAAAGAAGGGGTGGTAGCTGATCCTAAAAAAATTGATGCTATGCAACATTGGCCTATCCCTCAAAACATCAAGGAGCTACGAGGGTTCTTGGGTCTAATAGGGTATTACCGAAGATTCGTGGAGGGTTATGGAAAGGTAGCCGAGCCATTAACTAGACAACTGAAGAAAGACGATTTCCATTGGGATCAAGAAGCTGAACTAGCATTTTACAAGTTAAGGGAGGCTATGACCAAAATTCCGGTGTTAGCACTACCTGATTTCACTCAGCCCTTTGTGGTAGAAACGGATGCATCCGGAGTTGGGTTAGGGGCGGTTCTATCACAGCGACAAAGACCTATCGCTTACTACAGTCAGGCCTTATCTTCTAGAGCTAGGCTCAAATCGATTTATGAACGGGAACTCATGGCTATAGTTTTTTCTATTCAAAAATGGAGGCACTATCTTCTTGGGAGACACTTCATCGTTCGCACAGATCAGAAAAGTTTAAAGTACTTGCTGGAACAACGGTTGGTGTGTGTTGAACATCAGAAATGGGTTACTAAGCTACTTGGCTATGATTTCGAGATCCAATACAGACCTGGCCTTGAGAACAAGGCAGCGGATGCATTGTCTCGTCTCCCAGTCAAGGCCGAGCTTGCAGTTATCTCCGTATCTAAGGTACTGGATCTGGAGGTAATACAAGAACAGGTAGCAAATGATGAGAAGCTAGCCAGTATCAAGGCAGCCTTGCTCAAGGACCCCTTATCCGTAGAGAATTTGTCAGTAAAGGATGGTTGTCTGCTGTTTAAACAAAGACTGGTTATTCCCAAGGGGTCTAATTTGATTCCCAATTTACTACAAGAGTTCCATGGTAATGCACTTAGAGACCATTTTGGCGTCTTGTAGACTTACAAAAGAATTACTGGGGAGTTGTTTTGGGTAGGAATGAAGAAGGATGTTCAGTCATTCGTAGAGTCATGTTCTGTTTGCCAACAGAACAAGTACTTGGCACTCTCCCCAACAGGGTTACTTCAACCCTTACCAATTCCAAGAGCAATATGGGATAATTTAACAATGGATTTTATTGAGGGATTACCCTAATCAAAAGGGTGGGATACCATCTTAGTAGTGGCGGATCGGTTGAGCAAGTATGCTCATTTCATGACTTTAAAACACCCGTTTTCTGCAAAAACGGTGGCTGAATCATTTATACAAGGAGTGGTGAGACTTCATGGCTTCCCCAGGTCATCGGTGTCGGACAGGGACAAAGTTTTCCTAAGTTTATTCTGAAAAGAGCTTTTTCAACTACAGTCTACTTAGCTCCATCGCAGTACAACTTATCACCCACAAACTGATGGGCAATCGGAAGTAGTGAATCGATGCTTGGAGACATATCTGAGATGCTTTGCTAATAGCCACTCTCGCACCTGGTCGGAATGGGTACCGTGGGCTGAATTTTGGTATAACACCTCATTTCATACGGCTACCAGAACAACTCCTTTTAAGGTTGTCTATGGGAGGGACCCTCCTCCGATCATTCGGTATGGACATCAGCAGACCCTAGTGGCTGAACTTGATCAGCAGCTGCAACTCCGCAATGAGATGCTCGATGAGCTGAAGTTACAACTAGCACGAGCACAAAACAGGATGAAGAAGTTCGCAGATGAGAAAAGGAGGCCGGTACAGTTTGAGGAGGGGGAACTAGTGTATCTTAAACTCCAACCGTACCGCGAGAAATCTCTAGCTAAGCGTGTGAATGAGAAGTTGTCTCCTAGGTTCTTTGGCCCTTATCAAGTTATTCAGAAAATTGGGGCAGTTGCCTACAAATTGCAATTGCCGGACACGGCTAACATCCATCTGGTTTTCCATGTCTCTCAACTACGTAAAGCAATTGGTCCGATGACACCTATCCAGCCTCTTCCACCCCTTCTCAGTTCAGAGTTGGAGTGGATTGTGCAACCAGCTGGGGTTTTGGACATCAGGCCTAGCAGTGATTCTACAAGTGAAGGTCAGGAAGTACTTGTTCAGTGGCAGAATCTTCCATCTTTCGACGCTTCTTGGGAGCCCTTCAAGCTGATCAACGCTTAGTTTCCAGAGTTCCACCTTGGGGACAAGGTGTGCTTGCATTGGCGGGGGGTATTGATAGGCCACCCATGCGTTTTACGTATGAGAGGCGTCACAAGAAGGCAACGGTCTAGGATTTGTTATTGTAACTAATTCAGTTGTTTTGGGAGGGAAGTTAGTTGGGTAGAAGAGAATAAAAGGGCGGAGACGGAATGAAAAAAGGCATTCACGGGGTAGGAAAAATCTGTGAATCTGTGGGGGGAGGGGCAACTCTCAGAACTTGCCATTCTAGTTTTAATTTGTGTCAATTCATTTCTGTAATTGTTGAGTTTATGCAATTCTTATTAATTTCCGTTCATATTCATTTTCTTCCGTAAAATCCTGAGTATATTTTCACTGTTTACCGACGTTTGAAGTTGACTCAAGTCTCCAAGTGCAGAATAATCAAGCAGGTTCTATCACTAATACGCAAACAACACACACATAAAAACTTCTCCATAATGACATTATCAACAAGCTGCAGACAAATATTATTAACACGTTACTGACTTCTTTATACAGAGAATCAAAGGTATATTCATAGGAATGAACCGAGCAAGCTACTAGCACGTTAAAGCTAAAAATCAGATTATTTGAAAATTTTGAGTATTATGAGTTAACATTGTACCTTTGCTTCATGATCCTTCATTTTTCCTCCAACAATTCAACAAGATTACGCCTTTATCCTTAAAGCAAAGAACAATTATTAAAAAAAAAAAAAAAAAAGTGTTAGAGAACCAGAAAAGGGTTTGTTTCAGTTTATTTATTTATTTATTTCCGCTTTTTGTGCCAAATACTACGATTATTATAAGAAAGAAAATGGCAATGAGCGTTGGGTGACAATTGTTTTTCCTTTTTTGCATGAAATTGAGGAAATTAGCAGAAACCCACGAAGGAATTTGTAATAAATTAACAAAAGAGACAAGTAATTAGAAACCCATAAAACGAAGTGCAGAAAAAAAAAGGAGGAAAGAAAAGGGTTTATGAAATTGTGCAAGAATGAAAAGAAATTGATTTACAAGTACGGTGAAATAGAAATTTCAGAAAAAGGACAGAAATCAAGAAGAATAGTCAAGAATTACCTGTAATTGTAAAGATTCTTCTAGTTTTTCTTGGGCTAAGGTTGGTGAAAAATGCGATCTTATACTTCGCAATTCATATTTCGTCATTAATTTGATGTATTAACTATAATTAATAATGATAAGATATTTGGAAAATCAAAATTAATATCAATTGTTTTTGTTCTTCGTTTTGTCTTACTTACTCGAATGGCTAATTTTGAAGTCTTTAGTGATACTAATTTAGTGTATCTTCAAGAATTAATTTTTTTATTGTTAGAGAAAAAAGTGAATTTCATTTGTAAATAAAAATGTCAAAAATGATGATTGAAAATAGTAAATTAATAGTTAAAAAATTAATACCAAATGAGGGCTTAATAAACTTTTGAAAAATTTACACAATACAAGTGTAATAATACTTTATACGTGGTATTTTAAATTTTGAGTAAGCATTTGCCAATATGTTTGCTGCATCTTATCATTTACATTAATATTTTGGATTCTTTATTGTCTATTTTTGTCAAGTCAATTTATTATTTATTTGCATTTCATTTTTATAGTCGAAAAAATATTGTAAGATTTATCAATTTTAAAATGCCTATTACTTGATAATAAATTAGCGTAAAATTGTTCTAATTTATTGAATGATCAAATTAATTAAATAACATATCCTATAAAAATTTCTAAAAATTGCAAATTTTAAATTTTTTATTTTGAGGAAAAAACTTGTTCAAAATGACAAACCAAACCAAAACTTAATAAATTCAAAATTTAAAACTAAAATTTAAAACAATGAGGCATCATATTTTGAAATGGTTCGATAAAAATTTTATACCATGCGTACACGTGTGACACTAACGTCATTTTGGAGCATCAAATTAAATAAAATAAAATAAAAATTTGTTGAAATAGTGGTGAAACAATACATCCTGACCTATCTGGTGGCTTTTGGTGTTCCTCTTACTCCGACGAACGTGTGTAACCTAAAAAATGAGGGTGTGACTTTCTCCTCCATTTTACCTCCAACGTGAGAATCAGTATACGTGTTAAGAGAAAATAATGATAGAATTCAAATTACTGAAAAAATATGCTATCCTCCATACCCGTGTCGCCCTCGGGAGTATTTATAGACGTCGGAAGTCGAGTGAGAGCTGGGTGGTCGTGGTGCCACGTGTCCCACGTTGGCCTTCCCTTTATCTCCACGTTCTGATTGGGGAGTCTTAACTTCTCGCTTAGAGATTGGGCCTGAGGTAACCGTCATGTAACCTCGCCAATTCATCCAAAATTTTGCAGCTAAGTGTTAAGATGACCTTATAGGCAATTCCATGTCGATCACCTACGTTGAGGAAGAGTGCCCCCTGGGAGGGGTCGACGGTCTCTTGTTGAGGTAAAGCACTCGAGGGGTCGATGATCATACGTAAAGATAGAGCGTCCCCGTGGGGGAAGCCACGGTCTCTTGTTGATGTAGAGAACTCGAGGGGTCGACAATCTCGTATCGAGATAGAGTGCCTGGGGCGTAGGTGGCCTCATGTGGAGGTAGAACGTCCCGAGGGGTCCACGACCTCGTATTGGCGTGTAGTGATCTACCTCGCTTGTCATCAGATGTGGTTTTCTATGTTAACTGATATCAATCATATAAATTTTATTGAATATCATTAGGTAAAGAGTATTTCGGAGGATAAATGTGGATAATAATCTTTCAATTTCATTTAAAAGGGTGTCACTTACTACCTCTTTTTTATTCGGCTTAAATTCTTCTTCAACCTCCTTGTAATGTTATGCGGCTTATTAATTATTAATCATTTAGAATGAAAAATTAAAAATGTTATCCACATTAATTTATCATAATACCATATATCTTATAAGAAAAACATGTTTGGTTAGGGGCGCCCTTGGCACCCCGTTGTTTGGCCTGGATTTAACCCTAGCCAAACAATATAATTGTGTCTAGCACTATACAATATAATTTAATATTAAGTTTTTTGATGTAGCTTAAATTTTTCGAATAAAGAGACACTGGATATTTTTGGCACGTAGGCATATGTAGGGCAATTATTATTTGGTCATTCTCTTTTTTATGCTTTAACTGAAATCAGTGGTGGAAAGGGTACAAAATTAGTGGAATCTAATTCAACCACAAAGAAAAAATAAATTTAAACGCGAAATATTATAATAATAAATATAAATAATAATAATAAATTTATAAATATTTATATTTTTAATTTCATTGTGGCTTGGGACTCCGCTGGACTCCAATTGCCTCAACCATTGCTTGAAACTCCATTGAGTAATTTCATATGATACTTTAACAATTTAAGTTTTGGACGAAATAAATTGTCTATTTAAAAATCAATGTTCTAGCAAATTTTAATACAAATTGATGAAATGTATTGTTAAAATTAATTATTGACTTTGATTCAAATTTCTATCAATTTTTTAAGCAAAACTAAATATAAAGCCAAATTTTGTATTAAATATCATTTGCTCACCAAATGAAAAACTTGGTGGCCTTTTTCTTTTTGGTATATAACGTGAGGTTTCGTGATGTGAATGTGGTGTGGAGAGAAGTGGAATGAAAATGGAAAGGAGAAATGAGTCACGAAGAGAGAATTCTTCATTTTATTGTTAGAATAAAACCTCTGAAACTACTTATTCGATGCAAACACAGGTCTACATTATTAGAAGCTTGCATCATGTTAGAGACTCCTATACTTAGCAGATTTCGGCATAGATCCCGAGGGTCTCTCCATTAGATAATTGTCTGTCACGTAGAAAAAACACACTTCAAATCAAACACACAAAATTATCGAAAAAGGTCTCAATTTTATTGGTCAATTTTTGTTTTTGCTTCAATTATATTGCGAAATCAACTTCCATTACTAAAACTAACAAATTGTATGATGTGGGTAGGTCGATTATAACGTCGAAAATTTCACGAAAGTTGGCTTAGCGATGTAACAAAACAGAAACAAAAGTCAAATAAGGTGAAATAAAAAAAAGACAAACTCAAACCTTGCAGATGTCGGTACACTTCCCGAAGCATTTCTCCAATAGTGCACCATCTGCCATGTAAGAACACATCAAAAAATAATAATAATAATTAATTAATTACCAAAGAAAAATTAGTTGTCAACTTGCATGGAAATTGTATCAATTTTTAATTTATTTTTTATTTTTATTTTTTTTACTTTTTTTGAATTTTTCTAGTTACATTATTCAAGAATCATAACTTCGTCAAAGTCGAATTTTTTTCGGTTGATGAAGCTAGACAAAGCAAAGTAAGAGAAGAAAGGAAAAAATGCACTGTTGGTCAGAATTTATTGTTGAAGTAGCAAATTTGTCCTCATATTTTTTGTAATATCCTAAGAATCGACTTAGTGAAATCCCCTATTTCATATATCGGAAAAAGGAATGATCCATCAGGTTCACTATTAATTTCGACAATGCCCCCATCGAATCATCATCTAAGTAAACATGTTCAACTTTATTAAGTTAGATTTCATTTCTCAACAAAAAAACAAAAATTTGGAAGAGACATGCTTTCACGAGAGAACCCTCGTGATTTAGCACTTGTTTGGTAGAGATTACAATAAGATTTTTAGTAGATTTTGATAAAAGTTGATAAAATATGTAGTTGAAAAATTGTGGAATTCATAAAACTTGTGATTAATGAATTAAAATCTAAATTTTAATCCCCAACAAACAAGGGCTTAATAAAAATTTGGATGATTTTCCTTGGTACTCCTATAACTTGCTCATTTTTAAAGATTACAAGCTAACTTTTTACTTAAATTCAAGTTAAGTACTGATGCATGCAATTTTCCCACCAAGAAATGACCGAAATGTGAAGTAATTCTCTTTCTCACGCTCTTCTGAAGAGGGAAGCTTAATTAGCTTAGATTGATTATGAAATTGCAGCATTTGCCAAAATCAACATTTTAATTACCAATGTACCCATCTTAGATAACAATGCATGTGCATGAAAAGAGAGACGAGACGAAGTTAGAGGCATCATATTACCATAAATAACGAGAACACAACGTTTCAACGAGCAACCAATCTGACAATAGTACTGGATATCGGCACCAGACTTCGGAACGCAACTACACAAACATTGCAAATGGCATGTGAAGTTCTCTGATGGGGTCTTTCGACTTCCGATGAAGCACTGATTGAAGCACCCTCCCCAACAACCATATATATTAGGGGAAACAACAACACTCGCCAGCATCAAGGTCACAATAACCACCAACAGACGATAAATTCCACCTCGGCTACACTCCATAATCATCCCCTTTTGTTCTCGACACAAGTTGTTGTTACTTAAAATGAAAATTGGCGCTCTAGGGATATGTATAAGATCAAATGCACCGACTAATTTGATGCTGATTAATAAAATGCATTTATGTTATGGTTAGGGTTTTTTGGTTGATTCTACATGTGGCAAAGGTATTAAAATTTTAGCCATGGGTAGTTTACTAAATGCCAGTGGTAAATGCTTGCAATAAATAGATTGATAAAATACGTTACAACCACCAGCCATTAAACATATTAGATATTATTCTAATTTTGATTACTTCAAGTTTAGTTAGGTTTTATATATTTTTCATTATACAGTCTCTTTGTAGTATTTAAATAATATCGATTACCAATTATAATATTCATTGAGCTCGTTATCCTAAACAAAACATTTTGTTGCTTCGAATCGTGTAAAATATTTAGAGTTTTAATTTGGTAATAAATGGTGAAAGTGTTATGTAAATTTAAAATGAGATCGACTTTGAAACTAGGTTCGAATATACTATTAACTAGAATTTTGAGGACACAAGCCATGCCCGAGTGTCATGATTTTAATCCTTCCTTTTGATAGTATTGAACATGTTTGAATAAGCTTTAAAAGGAATAAAATTGCAATTTTTTATTTCCAAATATATTTGGACAACTTACTTCAATTCTTTTTTATTTTTTTTTAAGTGAACTACTTATTTTACTCGTAAATGAGAAATCTAACACAACAAAATGTAAATTCACTTTTAAAAAATTTCAATCAAATCTAGATAAACTCTGTAAGATCAAACTTAATCATTTCACGTTAACATTATCAAAATTTTTAATACGGCGTTACTCAATTAAAACATTATTATATATTAAAAGTTTTTAAAAGTTTGCGTGCCCTATAAAATTTGTGATGAAAAAGTGATTAAAAATTATGAATCTAATAAAATGTGTAGTTAAAAATAAAGTTAATGAGCATTTTGCAAACAAACGTTTTACCAAAGAAGCACCAAAATAACCTAATTATAACAAATCAAAATTAATAACCCACGTGTAAAATCAAAAGAAAATTGACCTCTAAAATTGTTATTACTTGTGGACCCCCCTCTCTTGTGAGGGGTGTGTCATTCGGGGAGTCAACCTCGGAAGTACAAATAGCAAGGCTGCAAAAATATTTCTCCAGCTAAGCAATCTGAAATTGAAGCACTCAAAACTCTATCAATACCTTTTATCAAACATTCCTAAAAAGCATATATGCTGAATTAAAAGAAGTTAAAACGTTGATTCCATAAGATGTACTATAGTATCCTGGGGTGAGTTACTCCAATATCAACTCCAAAAAATTAACTTTAAAGGGTCATTTAAGGACGAAAACTCATAGGTGCAGAAAGAAAGATTAAGAGGCCAACTGAATGACGGACAAGAAACTCAAAAGAAAGAACGGAAAAGGAAGGTAAAAACCATGCATACAAAGATTTGACACCCAAAATTCCACACGCCCATTGCAGGCACAAACAAAACAGAAGTCGCATTTAACTAAAAGTTTGTAACCCCAAATCTTGAAAACCAAGTGCACAAAAAGGCTAGGATGTATGTACCAAAACTGGTATGAAAATGAAAACGTCAAATGATGACCAGGCAAAATATAGTTGTTGCACTATAGTAACTGCTCAAGCCATCATATTAGGATATCGCTAGGGATTTATTGACAAGGATAGGGGTCGAACAACAACCAAATCGGGGGCCTTGATCATTTTAACCATTGCCCTTTGAGTTTTCGGCAGCAGCTTTGATTACATCTGCCTTCAAGAGAGCAGCTGCAGCTTTGTGCGTAAATACATCAGCTTGATAGAACAATCTGTTTGCCTTATCTCTCTTGAGCTCAGCCATACTACGTAAATGTTGTGCCGCAGTAGATGCATCCAGTGGCTCCAACCCAGGATTGTGGGATCCTTCAAAATATTGATGTTCCTGATTTGGTTCGTCAGGTAAAACATTTCTGTTCGCCGCCGATCTTTGGCTGTGAGAAGCTATCATTTGCTTATTAAAGGAAGAAAATGACTGGATCTTCTTCGTCTTTTTCTGGCAAGTTTTAGGACGAAAATCCCACTCAAACATGTCGTCGCTCAATGAGAAACGTCCAAGTCTACTAGCCTCTCGTCGAGGCAGTACCCTTTTCGTAGTCTGAGGTGACGACAAAGCATCAATAGATTCAGCAACATTGCGCGGGAACACAACCTTGTTATCCCCAAGAGCCACTCTACGTGATCTTCTCCCTACCAACAGTTAATAAGGTAAAAATCAACTAATAGAAGCTATGAGAAAAATAAATGAACTTATAAAAGAACGAGATCAATAGGGAAGGGCTATATGCTCAGACTCAAGTACTGGTATGTATTCAAGTGTTGGACCTTTTTATTTTCTAAAATGTAAGATACAGCGACATAACTAAAAAAGAGTCCAAATTTTTGACATGAGTACGTGGGCACGTGTTTCAAATTTCAATTTTTTTACTAATTCAAGATGTCATTCTGAATAGACCAAAATCAATTTTTCACAAAGAAGTAAATGGGTATCGAATAAGGTGTAAAAACGAATAAAATGGATTTTGGGGTTTAGTTTTCAATTATGGAAATTATTAAATGTTATATAAAATAAAAAATGGGAGATTGGATTGCAATTTGAACTTAGGAGTACTAAGTAACACTATATGGAACCCATTTTCATTTTATATTAACAAAATCTTCAACTACCAATATAGAGAGGGAAAGAAGAAAAAAAGAAGAAAATGGGAAGAAAAAGAATGGAAAACCTAGCGTCGCTACCTTATCCACCTCTTTGCGGCGATGCTAGATTTATAGAGAGCAAAAAGAAGAAAGAAGAAAAGGAAAAAAAGAAAGATGAAAAAGAAAGAAGAAGAAGAAGCAAAATCGACGAAGTGTCCGATTGAAACTTGGAAGATCCGACAAATATTCTATACCCATATCCATGTCATGTCCGACACGGGTACTCCGACAATTTCAAAGAGTTTGAGCATCAGAGTGGAAGGGAACTAAGGTGAAAAGTGGCCATTCAGATAATTGAGATTTTACATAGAAAAGAATAGGATTTCACCAATAGCATTGAAGACCTTCCAGATTACCTGAGACAATATGATTGTATCCAGAAACTGAAAATTTCCTCTTCGACCGTTGTTTTGAACGCTTTTTGGGAACGTCCATACCTCTTGGCTTTAGACAGAAAGCAAACATTGGTGGTTTCTCTGGAGGGGATGCCTTCTCTGGGTTACCAACCAATACAGCATTGCTGCCTCTGGCGATGGCAAGTTCCCACTCTTTCAGCTCCTTTTGATACCTCTCCCAGAGAGGGGGCTGATAAATAAAACATGTTGAAAAATTTTATTCAGCAACACTGATTATGCGTAGAAAAGAGAACAAGCAATCGTCTCTAAATGGACAACGATAAGAATTTAATATACTTAGGTATAATACTGATGCAGGGTTGATGACTGATGAGGGCAGCAACTTATGCACAAAAATGTAAGACAGAGAATAGTACTTAATTAAAACAAAAGGATCATATAGTTTGAAAGCCTAGAAATATCTCTAGCACAAAATACTGACACATGGAGGAATGCCACTTGTTTAAAAATATTCGTTCCGACATCTAAAATTGTAAGTCCAAGTCCTCACACATCCAATAGCAGCCCAACGAGTCTGGCAGCCTCTTCCAAGCTTAGCCATGCTTCTGAAAACATTTTTTAATTATTGTTAAGCTCATGTCATCCTAACCACCTCTAAGACTTGTGGTGACATTCATCTACTGAATCCATTAGTTAGTATTTATACAGCTTGACTCCTCAAGAATGATACTGTGGGTCTTAGAATAAAAGTATGTCCAATATTACGGGCGTGGATGAGTTTCTTGGAGAAGTTGAATATTTGAGACGTTTTAGAAAATAAAGTTCATGAAATGAGCCTCATAAAAATGTAACTACTTGGCTCAAATCAGATTTACCAAACAGACGTTCTCAATCATCACAACATACCCAACACGATAATATTTGAAATTACATAGAGACAAATAAAGAATGTGCAGCACTTCGCTGAATAATACAACTACAAAGTTTTCAATAGCCCTGTTTGGGAGGAATTTTGAGAATTGATTTTTTGATCGTTAGAAGAGAAGTGGGGTCCACCTATGAGAGAAGAAGTCAAAAATTATGGCTGAAATAATGAAATAACGGTCAAAAAATCAATTTTTTGGGATAAAAAATCCCTCCCAAACACGCTGAATAGCATGTTTGCTTTTCTTCTTCTTCTATGGGTGTATATAATGACCATATAAATATGTCATATTTCTACTTCCCTTGGACATGAAAGCCTATTATAAGCATCTACAAAAGCAATGATTGATTCTGATGCAGCACCAATGGGACAATTCATTGAGAAATAGAACAGATCTATAGGGAGAGGGAATTAAAGAGAAGAATGAGGAATTAAAGGGTGGAAGAAGAAGAATTTAATAGAAGAGGGCAGAATAAGGGGAGGGATGCGCCATAAGCCACCAAAAGCCGCTATTTGTCGGGTGAGTGCATCGAATTGTGAGGGGTTCATGTTTAAGGTACTAGAGCTAGAATTGACAAGATGACCAATATGTAACTATATGCAAAGCAATACTACCTAAATGAAATGCAATAGAGAGACCAATATGCATCAAGGACCAACGATTAAAACATCAATTTGAAATTCTCTCTCTCTCTCTCTTTTCTTCCCTTCTAAAAATGCAAGTTAATAGTGCTGATACTTGTAAATAATAAAGCAATGGTCCAATGCTTGTTAAGATCAAATGGTATTGTCAAGATTTCCAATCAGGTAGATAAAAGAGGTAACAATGGCACATCAATTCAGTGAGATAAATGGGGCAACAATGGCAAGTCAATTCAATGAGTGATTCCAGTCAAGTGAAGTTTGAGGCCAAAGTTGTGATAGTAACAGCAACACAAAGAATCTAAGTGATGCACTTTTAAAATAAAACAGCAGTATAAACCAATGAGAATTAGGAGATAGCAACTCCCTGTAGTTTAGTTTTGATTATTTGTATGCCGCTTGATTTGAATTGCCAACTTATAAGCCCCAACTATGCTTCTGTTCTTCCCTTCGTGTCCAATGGTTTTAACCTCTGTTGACTGTAACTTGTGTTAGCTCTGGTATGGACGTAAAACTGAGTGTGGTGACTGTGGCTTTTAGATTGTTGAGATGGACGAGGAAATATATGAGTGTGGTAACTGTGGTGAAAGTGTATGATCTTGGGTTGGTGGTGGTGGCCTATGGCGATGAAGCGATAGTGCTCTAGATGCCTGGGTACAATAGATAATGAAGTGGTAGCGTGATGGTGATTAGAGGCGATGACAGCAAGAGAGTGGTTGTGAGAGAGGAATCGGGTGAAACTGTGAGGTATTTGATGTTAATTGATTGGTTATAATCGGGCTTGGTCAGATATTTGGGACTGGGCCAAATGGGAAGGGGTTTAGATCCTGTTATAGAGATGGGCCAGTTTGGGTTAGTGTTTGGAGAGTGGGCTTGGGTCGTAGAGAGTAGGTTAGGTTAGTTGGGCTAAATATGTGATAAATGGGCTGGGGATTGAGTTATTGGCCAGATTGGATAATTGGGTTGATGTAATGGCCTTATTGGGCTGAATATGAGATGTGCATAATGGCCTCTAGGACTTGGGCTACTTATGATTATGTGGATGTAGATTGAGTCTGAGTAACGGGTTAAATGATTTGGAGACTAGAATATTTGACTGGGTGTTATAATGGGCTGTTTGGATTAATAATTGATTGTGTGTATGGATTAGGGTTTGCAGGAAGTAGCAGCAGTAACATAACAACTCGGAATTTTTTTTTTTTCCCCACGGGTGAACAGTACCCGGGAACAAGGAAATTGACAGATCGCAAAACTGAAATTCTGGGCGTAACAGTACCCGCAATGAACAGTATTATTTTTTTATTTTTTTATTTTTTAACCTAGGAAGGAAAACTGCTATCTTCCAACAAATCATTTTCGTTTCTGCTGTTCAACAAGTTTTGGGAAAAGGGAAAGAAGAAAATTTTGAATTATAAGAAAAAAATACCCAAGATTTAGCTCTGATACCAAATTTGATGCAACACCAATGGGACAATTCATTGAGAAATAGAACAGATCTATAGGGAGAGGGAATTAAAGAGAAGAATGAGGATTTAAAGGGAGGAAGAAGAAGAATTTAATAGAAGATGGCAGAATAAGGGGAGGGATGCGCCATAAGCCACCAAAATAATTATTCATTCATCATCAACTGTCTCAAATGAGAAATAAAACAGAAATAAATAGCAGAACATAAACCCTAAAGAAAAGGGCTTAGGCCAAACCCACTAAACAAGCCCAATAATGAAAACATAAACAATAGTCCAAATAAAATATAACTAATAGTCCAAATAGAAAATAAATAATAAATGGATGTCCGCATCAGATTCCCTAGGCTAAAGGAAACCATGTACGTTCTAGAATCTTGTCGAACATCCAAATACTAATCAAAAGTACCTGCTATTTTTTAATAATCGAAGCAAAATTGATACATATTACGTAAGGGATAAATTGAATGTTTAGTCTCCAAACATTTGCAATTCAAGCAAACCCATCCTCAAAGGATTCTAAATGCATAGTACCTGGAGTTGACGCACTAAAGGCATGCCTTTTCTCTCCCTCTTTTGTCGCCAGTGCTCATAAATGACTTTAGCTACTTCCTTGGACCCTATGCCAACCATTAGGCCCTCAATTTCATCGAGTGTGAAGTGCAAACGATTTTCAACATATGAAAATTTCTCTAGCATATCCATCATCTTCTCAAATGATTCATCAGATATCTCTTCAAAACCATTCTTATCTGTGAAAGAAGATTTTTTTTTGGACATTAACCAATGTTCATCTTCACTATCCATATCATATAAGAAATGAGAGGGATTCGTTGCCATTTCCACATCAGTTTCAACCTGGTGGAAGTACTCTGAAGAATTCTGTACAAATGGGACTTCAGTTGCATAATCAACGCTATCCTCAATCAGCCGGACTCCAGGGATAGGAATGTTCTTAACAGAAGCAGCGCGAATATTCCTATTGTGGCACTCTTCGTGCAACTCTTTGAAAAGCATCCATTGGCTCCTGTCAGAAAACTCCAGTAGCCAGTCCTCTCCCCCTTTCCACATCATAACATTTGTGTAGTGGTTACTTGACTCAGCTTTCCAATTATGTTGAACTTTATACGAATACCTCGTACTGCCAGAAAGTTTAACAGCCAGTCTCCATTCATTTCGATCTGCAAGTTCTAAGACAATCTGTGCCCCACGTTCTCTCCATCTTTTGTCCTCAACGATGACTAACAGGTTCGCACGACATGATTCCAACTCCAAATTCCTTTGGGAACTCCTGGGGCAATCAGATACACTCTTCTCACTAGCTTTCCTGATTCGTCTGCTAGGTAGAGTTATCTGGTTATTGGCATTACAATCTGCAAAACACAGTGCATATTGAATTTGATTTGGTGGCTTCTTCAGTCCACAGCTCAAGTCATTGAGCATAGATTTAGTCTTCCTATAGGAACATACGGGCGAGAGATTTCCAAAAGGCGAAGCACTTGATCTGTATCTAGCATGATGCCGAGAACTTCTAGGGAGAGTAGGGTTGGGGCTGTGAACAAAGCCATCACTCATACTCCAACCAACATCAGAGCGCTCTCTGGCATTATGTCTTCTTCCATCATAAGGCATGTCAACTTGAGCACAAGATGGAATTTTGACACTTGTGACACCGAAACTAGAATCACAAGTCGGATTTGAGCTTGCCCAGGTGATGGAATTGGATGTACATACAGTAACTTCACTGCTAGTTGGCTTACCATTCTGAACATCCTGCAATGACACAAATTTATAAGCAACATTGCTGGCTGAGACAATAGCTTTGTCACGAGAAAATATTCCATATGAAGGAGCTTCAGTCACCACTGTTCCAAAGTTGCGTTGGGCGTGTATATCTTGAGTACTAACTGAGGGAGATGCAACTTGCATGCAATCCTCTACAATTTGCTGAGTGGCATCTTCAGGGTTTCCTAATGAGCACAAAATGTCATAATCCCAAAGATTAGTGCAAGCAAAGTTGGGCTCCATGAACATCTTAAGATGAAGATTAAGAAAGAAAGGAGGTGCAGTACCAAATGGATGAGGCCTACCATGTTTTGCAGCCTGCCTGTAACTAGATTGACAGGATTCTCGGGAACCCATGGACTGCCAGACATGATTCTTCTTCAAACCATGATCCATGACAGGAACAAAAACAAAGCCGATGAGAAACAGAACTTAGTGACAAAGTTACCTATATAGTATGTCCATATATGAACAAGCATAACACACGAGTTCCTCACCCTAAGCATCACCATCAAAACTGCCACCCTTAGGCCCAAAAAATAAAGAAAATAAATAAATAAATAAAAGAAAAGTGCAGGAATTTTCTCTTGCTGGAAATGTTATTTCGTTAACCTGACAACTGTGTGCTATATGACAAGGAGCAATAACATAAGGTAAAGAACAAAAAAATAATTGTGACACTAGTTGAACAGCTTTCATTATGGACTGATAAAAACAGCAGACCACCATTAACAATATAAAGGACTTCAAGTTATAACAAAATACAAATTAAGAAAGAAGTTACCTCAACCGATGACAATTCCAAACCAACACAAGGTTTGCTTAACTGGAAGCTTCCACATTCAAGTGCTGTAATATTACTATATGTGCATTCATAGACAGGTAGTTGCTTAATAAGCAGACAACGCCGCAGCAGCTTAGAGTCTAGGTAGAGCCACTCTGAATTTTTCACTTTAGAGAAATTGTAAAATTCAAACACATGCCTCTTTTTTAGATCTTGAACACTAGAAAATCTAACGCTTACTGAGGTTACAGGTAATTCTGCGTCATCATTCCAACGTTCATTAGGTTGATTGAACACTGTCAGGATGAGGGAGACAAAGGCTACAGCCTGCTTCAGGCAGCCTTCAAACAAGAAAAACCTCAACCCGTAAACACTATCAACAAAGAGCATCTCCAAGATTACAGCAGGTGACGTTGTCACCATCACTCCATATTGAAGAATCAATACAGAGTGAGACAATCGAAGATCCCATGTTCCAATTGAATACTCAAAGGAAGGCACTGAAGATAAGCATATCAATCGTTTAGATCCTACTGCTGCGTCACTCATTCTTAGCTTACCGTCATCATGAATTGTCCGCAATAAGAATCTTTCACCTTGCTTGTTGGAACACCTCCTGACATACACTCTGTGTTGGGAGCTACAAGGAGTAGCCAGTAGAGAATCATCAAGCCTTTCACCAACAACTAAACCTTCATTAAGAATCGATGGCACTAAGAATCTCTCACCCTGCTCGTAGGAACGCCTCCTGACATACACTCTTATTTGTGAGCTGCTACGAGCACCCACTAGAGAGTCATCAAGCCTTCCACCAACAATTAAATTATCTGGTACTCTAAAATCATAATCCAGCTTACTTCTACCTCTTTCCAAAAAACCTACATCTTTATTTGCATTATCATTTTTATCAGATAAAGATGGCGAGACCATGGGTGGAAGCATTCTCATAGTTTTCTGTTTTTTCAATGGATTAGGCAAGGATTTAGTACGACCAGAACGGGCCAACCATGATATAATGGGCTCCGTGTCCCCTATGTTGTCACCGTCAGATGATTTTTGAGGTTTTCCCTTGCCAGGAACCTCACTTCGGAGAAGCAAGAGTTTAAATTTCTCCTTTTGAAGATCAATCCATTCCTCAAATCTGTCATCATACTTCACAAAATGAAGCTTTTGTAATGGGTTATAGTTATGCACGATGCCAGAATGCCAATCCTCATGCCTGAGAACTTTGATCTTACGTTTCAAAACCCAGTAGGGATCCAATCCCTCGGGAAGAATTTCATAAAAATGGCGGCGTTTCCTCGAATTGTTCTTCCCCCTTTGGTCTTTCTTTTTTCTAAGTACTCCGTTCTCCAGATCAGCTGATGCAGACTCCAAGTGAGTAGATGAGTTAGATTCTCGACTAAATAAATCCCTATCAGGGTAGTCCAAAGAAGAGAACTCATTAGTGGACTGTGACACGATAGATTTCTTATTGGAAGGGTACCCAGTGCAATTTGGATCAAATCGTGATGAAAGCATCCTCGCGGCATTCTGTTCGAGGCTCTCTTCATCATAATCATTATCCTCTAGGAAATCAATAAAGACGCTGCCTGAGACTGAACTACCAGCTGAAGGATCAGCCCTTTTCGCATTAGATCCACTGCCATCGCCATGAGCTGCCACATCCTTCCTCTTCCGATTATTGATCCGTTTCTTTTTAGAAGATGTATCAACATTATTTACACTGACTGGATCATTTTCTTGATTAGCATGCCGAGATGAACTCATCCCACTGTTCCTACTTCTCTTAACTTTATTAAAGACTGTTTTCTGCTTTTCTTTTGAACTATCAACCTTATATGCAGAACTTTTAACTAAATTAACTAATTGGTCTTCCAGATTGCCATCATCCTTGGCTTTCTTAACTTTATCATTTATTTTTACAACTGGATCGACAGAATTAGAAAGTTCTGACCGCTTGGAAACCCGATCACTTTTAAACTTCTTCGGCCCCAATGAACTCCTTGGATGCTTTGGGAATCTAAAAGCATATTCATTTTCACGTGAAGTAAGAGACAAGCCGTCAAACTCCTCGCTGCCACTTGTCAATTTTTCACTTGCTCCTGACCCCACTTTCGTGCTATTACCACAATCTTCCTTACCCTTTTTAGCCTCAGACTTACTGTGGATAGTCAATCTTCCACTTGATCCCGATCCCAAATCAACAGAATTAGAAACTCCTGACAGCTTGGAAAACTGATCATTTTTAAGCTTCTTCGGCTCCACTGAACTCCGCGGATGCTTCGGGAACCTAAAAACATTCTCATTTTCACGTGAAGTAAGAGACGAGCCGTCAAACCCCATAATGCCACTTGTTAATTTTCCACATGATCCTGACCCCACTGTCAAGCTATTACCGCAATGTTCCGTACTCCTTTTAGCCTCCAAATCACTATCACTTGTCGTTTTTCCTCTTGATCCCGATACCACCATCACCCTATTACCACAATCTTTCCTGCTCTTCTTAGCCTCGGACTCAAAACTACTCAGAGATGGGCTTTTCCTATTCTTCCTGTTCTTCTTCTTCTTCTTCCCATCTTGAAGGTCACACACTTCAGAAGTCTTTGCTCCATTTTGTTCCTCTTCAGAGTCCCTAGAATTGTACATGCTCTGAAGATCCAAAGATCCTTTTTTCTTAGGAAATTTAACCGAACCAGACTTTTCTACAATCTTTTCCATCATACTCTTTCAATCCAATCTCACCATAACATTAACCTCAAATTTCGATTCCCACCAAAATCTGTAACCGAAACACCACATAAAAGAAACCAATTAACATATAAACAAAACTTCCAATTTCAATAATAAAACCTAAAAAATTTCAAAACATTAAAATCAAACCCATTTCGACAAATAAAAATCGATTAAATCACACAAACTAACAACACAACGTACAAAAATCAGTATTCTGTACATGAAAATTACATAAATATTTTACCTATATTTTGAATTAACGAAAAAGTAAAGATCATGCATGAAAATGTTTGATTTTCGAGATCAAATAGCTTCTGTTTTGAAATCCTAACCTGAATTTTGATTTACCCAAACTTTCAAATGAATTTTTCCATCAAAAATTTCCTCATTTCATATTTCCAGAGAGGAGGCTACTAGGGTTTATTTTCTGAGCTACAGTGAAGAATTTTATGGCGATAATTTCTAAAAAATATGGTGATGCCACGTTGAGAGATCTAGACCATGAAAAAGAATTTGACGGTGAGGATTGGGTCTGGGTCGTTGGAGTGCTGGCAGTATGAAATAAAACGTGAACAACTCTGGTTGAAGGAAACGGCTATGATTTTATAGGTGAAAATGGACGGCAAGATTTCAGCATTTCGGTGCGGAAATGTTCGATAATTAAAAATTCAAATCTGTATTTTCGGAAAAGCATTAAATCAAGTTAGTCAATTAACCCTAGGCTTTAAGAAAATTACTGGAGTGCCATTTAAAGTGGTGACGCGCCAAAAGCAGCCGAGTAAATTATTTGAGTTTCTCACGTTTTATTAAAAAAAAAAAAAAAAAAGGTTCAACCCTAACCTTGAGGTCCCCATCGCCCCACCCCGCCCCGTCCCGTCTCGTCCTTAGAGTTTTGTGAGGGAGATAAATTGCTGAATGTGTCCCAACAGATTAGTAAACAAAAACTGCATGTACACTAATGTAATGTCTCACATCAATTTATGAAAGTAACAAAAAAAGAGATGCTATAAGTCGGAAGGAAAAATAAAAGATTATAAGATATAAAGATTGTTTGGGTGACAGTTTAAGACTAAATTGCGGAATGAGGACCCTACAAAATTATGATAGAAAAATACTACAGTGCGATTAGTTCTTTTAGAAGGAAAAATAATGGTCATGCTTCAAAAGAATTGATTCAAGATATCCATACAATTTTTGGAAAAATTATCACTTGATATGGAGTGTCTCTTGTCTTGGTATAATTGAACAACCACAACTTTGATGTCGAACGAGCTACAAGATAATTTTGATGCTAATGCTGCTTCCGACAACACTTGGTGCTTCGTTTACAAGCAAACTGTGAAAACTTATTTTTATATTGATTTTTTAAGAAAGAACGAAACTCCCTAATTATGAAGATAGATTTTTTTATTTTTTTTGGGTGAAATTACCTTAATAGGTTATCTTCAATAGAGCCTAGCAACGTGTTCATTGTAGAGTCTGCTAGTGTTGTATTGTTTAGACATTTAAGTCATTTATCTTCGAGTTAAGCAAGTCATTAAGGTTTGGGTACATTGCATCATTGCATGTAAGTTAAATGATAAGATATTGATTTTTAAATCATGTTTGGTACAGATTTTTTTAAATTATTTTTTCTATAAATTCATTTTCAATCATACGTTATCTCTAATTGATAAAGATTAAAATCTAGATTTTAATTTAAGTTAAAAGTCAATAACTAATTTAATAACATATTTTATAGGATTCACAACTTTTCAACTACATATTTCATCAATTTTTATCAAAATATACTCAAAATATAATTTTAATCGCCACCTTCAAAAGAATTGATTCAAGATATCCATACAATTTTTGGAAAAATTATCACTTGATATGGAGTGTCTCTTGTCTTGGTATAATTGAACAACCACAACTTTGATGTCGAACGAGCTACAAGATAATTTTGATGCTAATGCTGCTTCCGACAACACTTGGTGCTTCGTTTACAAGCAAACTGTGAAAACTTATTTTTATATTGATTTTTTAAGAAAGAACGAAACTCCCTAATTATGAAGATAGATTTTTTTTTTTTTGGGTGAAATTACCTTAATAGGTTATCTTCAATAGAGCTTAGCAACGTGTTCATTGTAGAGTCTGCTAGTGTTGTATTGTTTAGACATTTAAGTCATTTATCTTCGAGTTAAGCAATTCATTAAGGTTTGGGTACATTGCATCATTGCATGTAAGTTAAATGATAAGATATTGATTTTTAAATCATGTTTGGTACAGATTTTTTTAAATTATTTTTTCTATAAATTCATTTTCAATCATACGTTATCTCTAATTGATAAAGATTAAAATCTAGATTTTAATTTAAGTTAAAAGTCAATAACTAATTTAATAACATATTTTATAGGATTCACAACTTTTCAACTACATATTTCATCAATTTTTATCAAAATATACTCAAAATATAATTTTAATCGCCACTAAACACGAGCATTATCTCAACAAATTACTTTTCCAAGCGAATATGTAACTTTTTCTTAATTTTTAATATATTTTTAAAAAAAATACCTTTTTATAAAATTTTATTCTCAAAAAATTTACAGTAAATGTGTCCTAAATTTATAGTTGTGAAAACACCCACAAATTAATGCAGATATTTTGCCTAGTGAAAAAAGACTGAAAATATCTCTATTCGACTTTGGCAAAATTTAGAGCTTGTTAAGAATTTTCATAATTGATTTTTTAACTATTAGAGATAAAGTGAATCTTACTTTTAAGAGAAGAATTCAAAAATGACAGTTGAAATAGTGAAATAACAGTCAAAATTTTGATTTTAATTGACTTTTAATCTGTAACAAACAAGCACCTATTCTAGTGGCTATTAATTAATTAATTACTAATATTTTTTTATTATCACGTTTAAGGGAATAAACATTGAGATAAACAGTTTGCAGCGGAGATATTGTCCGTAGCTTAAGAGGATGAGACGTTGACATTCCAAATTTATAGACGTTGTCAGTCGACAAGATGAAGAGAGCAACAAAGGATAAAAAATCGAAAAAGACAAAAAGAAAAAGAAAGTTGTTTGAATTAAAGTCTTAATTAACAAACTAAAAGAACTATACATTCATCAGAGGCTGTTTGGTAGTGATTTTGAGAATTAATTTTTTGATCATTGGGAGAAAAGTGGGGTCCATCTGTGAAAGAAGAAGTCAAATATGACGGGTGAAATAGTGAAATAACGGTCAAAAAATCAAATTTTTGGAGAAAAAAATCGCTCCCAAACAAGCCCTAAGTCCCTATTTGAACCAAATTATTTGCCCTGAAAAATAAAAAATTGTACCATTATCAATCATTTTCAGCTGCAATTGTTGACCTCTTCTTTCACGTGTGGGACCCGACTGAAGTTGCAACGGTCACATTTTTCATTTTAGTGAAATGGAAAATATGACTCCAACAGGGGGCAAAAAAAAAAA